GGCTGTTGGCCAACCAATTTGAAATACATCACTAGTTGCTGGGCAGACTCTAGCCCACCAGGTAGAAGCCCCTCACCCAGGTAGCTGATACCAGTCACTAGGCAGAGGGAGCAGGTTTCCCCCCTCCCTCAGGAATGTAGCCAGCTCAGATTACCTAAAGAGATAGGGTAAAGCTGCGTCTCCTCTGCTGGGCCCATCCTAATCAAATTGTCACAACACAGAGATTTTGGGGAGAAACAAAGGTGGCTTCCCACCACAACACCCATGTGGGCCCATAACAACCATGGGCCCATAACAGCTGTGCATTTCACACCCTTGGTATCAGTGCAAGCAGACACCCAAGAGGGAGGTGAATTAGGGCCCATCCATCTCCATCCATAGCTGAGGCACAGATAAGCAGAGCCCAAATACCTCCATCCTGTGAGTTATACAGAGGCAGGTCTGTGTGGGAGAAGCTGGGATCTCACATGCATCCCACCCCAGGCACAGGCCTGGCAGCCACAGGACCACACTGCTGAAGCAGAACAGGCCAGACCCAGCATGGCTGCTCAGATCTTACTCTCAGTCCAATGTTGAGTCCAAGAAGGCTGGGTTGGCTCACACACACGGTGCTGTCTATGCCTTTCACAGGGCAACCAGTCAAGCACAGACAGCAGCTGCAAACATCTAGGGTACTTTTACATCTGCTCTGAGGTTGGGGAGGGCAGTGCTCTAATTAGGCCAGCTCCAAGAGTTACTCTAATTAAAGCGCTGCTGTGTCTCCTGTATCAGCATCCCCATGCTTAAAAATGACAGCGGGAGCATTTGAACGAAAGCTCATTCAACAAGCTTTAGTTCAAGGGCCCCGCTACCATTTTTAAGCACAGGGATGCTGATACATAAGACACAAGAGACTGCTGGAGTGCAACTGCCACACTCCAACAGACTCAATTAATCAAGTCTGCTCCAACACGCTTGAATTCAAGTGCATTGAAGCAGCCTCTGTGCTTGTGCATAGGCACCACTAGATGTGCAGGCATGTGTGAGCATGCAGGAATGGAGATGCACAGAGCAGAGCAACTCTTCCACAGCAGCCACAAGGACTTCATTGTAACCTGGGTCTGACAGACTCTACATATCAATCAAGTGCTAGGCATGTCTGAGTTGGCACATCTACTTAATGCGATGCAATAAACTCCAGCGCATATCACATCAGAGCTTATTGTTCCTGGGACCGCAGTGCATTGAGCTGGATCAGAGCAGCGCGGAGTTGCTTGGACCCAGCTCAACATACTGCAGAGAGGCTGGCTGGGTCACAAGGTGCCCCAACCAGCTGCATCAGTGCCTACACATGCACTGCTGCAAAGTAAAAATACTTGTATTTCTTTGTATTTAAAAGGATTTGTATTTAGAAGTACTACCCTGCTGAAGAGTTTATTAGTTTACTCCAGTCTAATAGCCCTGCACATGTGGATGCTAAGGCCTTTACTGAGGAATGATTAGTCTACTCTGCAGTAAATGCCTCATACAGATGCACTGTGCCACTGTCTGGCAGTGAGGCAAGAATTTGAAACAACGCTTGGACATTGTAAAAGTAAGAAGCTCCATGCCCTGGGCTTAGGGAGGGGACTTGGAAACTCACACCCATTGCAGGAAGGAGGTGCAAGCTGGGACGGTAAGGATCTATATTACTCTGAGAAGAAAATGCTGTTGATAATATATACCAGTGTTCATTAAAGGAGAAACCCAAGATGCACATCTCTCCCTAGAATTGTCCTTTCTCTACTATGATGATTCTCAACCAAAGTGTTGCCAGATCCTTTGAAGAATGTCAAACCTCCAGTGCAATCCACAGAGGAGAAAGACAGATTGGTGGGAATAGCTGTTGAAAGTGAGCCTGTATTTCAGAGGGGAGCTCTCAGAGCCTCCCTACTATTGTACAACTGTGTCACACCCCTACCACAGTCTTCTGCTTCCAGCTGGGGCTTCCTGACACTGCTCCCATACAGAACACCATGCAGCTCTCCCACAAATCTCTCCACCTATTAATTACAAAGAGCTTTACCAAGGTCTGTATCATCACCCCTGTTTTACAGATGGGGAAACTGAGGCAGAGACCAAGTTGCCCAAGCTCATTGAGCAGGCTAGGAGTAAGGCCAAAGAGGAACCTCTAATTTCACCAAGTCTCAGTCCAGGGACTAAACCACTATTAGACCGCACTGTCCCCCTACGATGCAAGGGTGGGGGATACTGGATGTTCATCCTCTATATTCTTTCCAGGTCAAAGGAGGAGGGCACTGTCCTGGAACTTGGGTTTGGATACCCCAAGGGAGGACCTATCCCAGAATGGAGCTCAAATCACCTGTGAGCGGCATCAGGGAGTTAGAGGAGGGGTTCTCAATCCCCAGGCCAGGGCAGGTAGGCTGCCAGACCAGAAGTGGCCGCGGACCAGCAAACCGTGGCCCCCCTCAGAGCTGGGTGGAGACACCGCAGCTCCTCCTGCAGGGCCCGCAGCAGCCCAGGGTTTGGCCCACCCCCCTGCCCGGGGGGTGGGGGTATCCTTACCTGTCTTCCAGCCAGAAATTCTGGCCGCGGTCGGCTGTGACTGCTGGGCTGCGGTTTGCCAGGCCGCAGCCACTTCCAGGCCGCAGTTTGCTGGGCCACGGCAAAAAAACTTTGGGAATCCCTGAGTTAGAGGATACTAGCCCCTCTTCCAGCAAGTTGGATCTCTAGTCATTTGAGGGCAGCAGCAGGTCAGAAGCCCCAGCAGTGCTGATCCTGGCCAGCTGAAGACACAGGAGCGTAGGATGAGGAGGGCCATCCTGGGCAGTCAAATGCAGTCCCTACGTTCACAGGCAATCAATGACACAGGAACCCCCCAAATCACCACAGCAAACCTCTACCCCCCCCTACAATGAAGACTATCCAAACTGCCCCGTGACATGACATAGGTAAAAGAAGGAGAGACAAGGGCAGTGCCCACACCCTGTCACTGCAACAACAGGGAAATAGTTGCTTAGCATGCATTTGGAAGACCCCAGGAAAAGGGTCATGCCCCACAATATAGAGGAAGGCAACCACCCCCACACATCTTGTTGCAAGCTGGGGAAAACTAAGACCAACAGAACAGCAACTAGACACCACCTTCCCCTGCTGGATGGGCCCACACAGCCTGCCTTTGCATGCCCCATGGCTATTGCAGTCCTAACAAGAACAGCTCTCAGGAGTTTCTCCATCATACAGGAGCTGGGAACCTCTCTGCTTCAAAGGACCCTATGGGCAGCACAGCACTGACACCTGACTCTGCTGCAAAGAGTTGTTCATTAAAAAGGGAGGATACATCACTCAGAGCTGGCAAGATCAGAACCTGCCTAATGGAGTCTATTGTTTGCCCAAGACATACTGCAATACAATTAATAGCCTCTATAACAAAGGGGAGGGGGCACAGATATTAGGGGCTGGAAGGGACCCCTGAGATCATCGGGTCCAGCCCCCCTGCGCTAGGGCAGGAAAGACTGATGTGATGTGCTACCTGCAACAAGGGTGCTACCTGCCTTTCTCCCACTGTGGGCCGAAGGGGACGAGCCACAAGGAAACGCAAACGCCTGCCCTCTCCGCAGTGAGGAAGAGGCTACAACCCTCCTTTTGAACACAGGACACTTCAAACCATTCTGCAAACACCAGAAAATGGCTGGTTCCCTGGTTGACTGGTGGGAAAACTGAAGCTAACTTTGAAAAAAAGAGAGATTGACCTTAACTTTGTGAGCAAAGATTTTGGATGCCCAAACTGGGATTGCTGGAAGGAGGCAGGGGGGTGGGGAGGAACAGCCTCTGCCGGGCAGTGAGTCCCGAGCTATGCGGGAGGCACCGGCAGCGCCACCACGGCGGGGGCAGCACACGGGGCAGCGGAGCTCCCGGCCGGCCCCGGCCCGTTCCCGCTCGCCAGGCCGGAGCCGGCGGCC